AGCTGCATGCTCAGCGAGTCTGGCGCCCCGAGCCTGTGTGTCCGCTCTATGGCAGGCAACTAGCACAAGTCATTCTGAAATATGAGGTGCCATGCGCAAGACCTGCATACAGGTACGGGCTGCATGCAATCACCCACTCTGTGGACCCAGGTGTCCGCTCCCTACACATGTACCAGAAGCGCTGACTCGAGCTGGTGCACCACGGGGGCGGCGCACTCAGCCTGCCTGTTGTGTTCAGCTCCTGCCACCCTGACGAGTGTGCTACGACACTGTATCCTAGGCTGACTTGCCCGTCCGCACCCTGGATGGCTGCAGTTTGTGCCCATGGTGTTTACCCACTCACTCCGGAGTGGCTGGTGGGAATGAAGGCTGGGCGGGTGTGAATTGTTTGCACACTTGACTGTGGACTTGAGAGTGCGCACAATGACCGCTCGCTGCACAGACGTGTTGGCACCATGGCCAATGTCATGCCCAACTGGCTGGTGGAACTCAGATGCAGGCAGCATACAGTATGATCAGCTGCTCGCCAGGTCAGGTGTCATCGCCGCACCTCCCGACTCACCACACCAGGGCCATGGCTACAGTGGGTTCAACTCGGGAGGGAGGGCGACGATGCCTGAACTTGGCCTGGACAACACAAAGATGACGTTGTGAGGCTGCACTATGTTTGCCCACCGTTGCGGTGTAGTCCGACCACCTAGTTTGCATCGTCCGCCGGCCCCAGAGTCCGACTGCGACCGTGTCCGATGAGCAATTACACCGTCCGCTGGCTCCAGGATCATTCCCCACACTCTGTGATCGTCTACAACCTAGTTTGCATGTCCGCCGCCCCAGAGTCCGACTGCGACCGCGTCCGATGAGCAATTACACCGTCCGCTGGCTCCAGGATCATTCCGCCACACTCTGCGATCGTCTACAACCTAGTTTGCATCGTCCGCCGGCCCCAGAGTCCGACTGCGACCGTGTCCGATGAGCAATTACACCGTCCGCTGGCTCCAGGATCATTCCGCCACACTCTGTGATCGTCTACAACCTAGTTTGCATCGTCTGCCGGCCCCAGAGTCCGACTGCGACCGTGTCCGATGAGCAATTACACCGTCCGCTGGCTCCAGGATCATTCCGCCACACTCTGCGATCGTCTGCAACCTAGTTGGCATCGTCCGCCGGCCCCAGAGTCTGACTATGACCGTGTCCGATGAGCAATTACACCGTCCGCCGGCGTCAGGATCATTCCGCCACACTCTGCGATCACTTTCGACCCAGTTCGCATCGTCCACCGACTCCAGAATCACTCCACCTACAAGAAACACACCACGAAACGTTTCCGACATCTGGGAGGGAGAGCGAGAAGAGGGGGGCCTGTTCCCGATTGTCGGAAAGAATGAATGGAGTCATCGGAATAAGGGAAAATCACATGGACTTTAGAAACAGTATAAATACCACTCACTGTATCTGGAGAAATCATCTCTGAACTCCCCTGCTCTCTGCTACAGTCCTAGACTAGAGCAGAAAAGTAGGATACCTGCCAATCTAAAGAGTTCACTGGTCACCAGGGGCTCTCTTCTTTACTCATCCTCCATTCTGAACAAGAATAAATCCCTGGAAGCGTCGTCCTTTAGGCCCTTCACAAAAACTCATCAGTCCTCTCCAGGTCCTGAGAGGCACTGTCCACTAAACAGATTTATACCGGGAAGCTCCAAAAGAGCCCCGGTACGGCGCCAGTTCTTGGTACAGATCCATCTAACCCTGAACGACTGCGCGAAAAACAAAATCAATTACCCCGATCCATTCTCCGCTTCGAACCCTGCCGACAATATAGCATTCGGAGTGTGCGGATTCTCCGAGGAGCCATCCACATCCTTCACATAGTCTGTTGAAGCATCCGCCTTCTACGTTTAAATCATTCGCGGTACGTGGAGCGCGATCAGAGACCTGCGGACATCATTTTTCCGTTTGCTTTCAAAAGCGGACAGTGTCCATTCGATATAAAGAAACCCTTAGAAACTACATATCCTCGGAGGCTTACGAAGCGAACCCGCATTGCGACGGAAGCTTTTTAACAGCTCCGCCTGTAGAACAGAATTCGCCGTCTATCCCCCAAGAAGGCCCAGATTCGTATCAACATATCCGGTGAAGGATACAGGTCTAGAAAAAGGGGCGACCTAGTGCTTCCTACGCGAGTGGAGACGATTCCGCTGTGTACCAGTAGTGCGAAACAAATAATATTGGAGAATCCGGACCCCCATCAGACAGATCATAGCTATTACACTAACCAACTAAACTTTAAACCACACAGGGAATTTTATCAAACACAAAAACCGAAGACTTCCGTCCCAACTGAAAGCTGTAAACTTTATTCCCTCTAGAGGACGAACACTACTCTACTTGCAAATATTACCCTGCATCTAGTAGAACCGCAGTCCATATCACAACGTGTCTCGTACACATGCATAAGCACCAACTTCGCATGCTTCAGGAGCTTCGTCCCCTTCCCGACAGGTAAAGACCCTTCATAGCAATGCTCATTAACACATTAACCATGTTCACTTCGCTTAAGTGGTTAAATGTCGTAGGCCTTTCGTACGATCGTAGTTTTGAATATTGTTTGTCGCATTTCTCTCGTTAGGCCTTCGGTTCTTCAGTCTGGCCATTCCACTGGATTTCCAGTGGTGGTCCAGTTGGCAGTTAGTGGAAATGCTCAAGTGATGCTTGTAGGATCCTGTCCTGCATCTCTGATCAATGTGATGTATTGGAATACAAACCATGACTTTACTCTCAAACTGACGACTCAAACTGCTCATCACATCACATGATGTGACCGTTCTAACCAGTATACTCTGACTGTATATGTGGCTTCCTCTATTCCTCTCGTGAGTCAACCAACAAGTGCAGTGTTCTTCTTTGGATGTCAGGTACACTCTCTATCCACTTGTATCTTTTCTTCATTCAATCTTAATTCACCCGTCGCTAGTTCAAAAATCTCTCTGCCTTTTATCTAAAAATATGGTTCCCGATTGCGCTCTACAGTTGCTGTGCTTCTTTCCCAAAGTATCAACTCCTCCCCAACGTCCGCCTTCTCAGGCACCACAGCTGCTTCGACGTCGGCCCAATTGAAATGTTGATCAATTTCAAGCAATTCACACATTTCACACTTCTCCTGGCTTTTGCTGAACCCCTTCGAGGCTTGTCTACTGGGAAACATTTCCTTCTGCTTCCTGTACTAGGACTGCAGGGACAGCTTGAGCTGATCTGGCTCTCTGAGCTCTGCCTCGAACACTTTTCAAGTGATGTTCATGGTTGTGTACTGAAAATCATGGAAGCTACCAGCGGAATAGAAGCATTGTCAAAACCTGACGAAGGATGACGACAGATTCCTGTACTTCTTGTGGATATTTGGGCCTACATATTGTTTGTTTATCCTCCCCTTTTTGGTCAAATGTGGATTGTCTCTAGTTAATTTCCATGTAAATGGCACGTATATGCAAAGCAAATACCTTTTTGCCAATCTCAGATTAGGGATGCAATTGGAATGGCAGAAATTGCGCCTCAGTTGCACATCGTGCTCTCTCTCTCTCCAGCTTTCTCTCTCTCATTCTGTTTCTCCTCCACCAATTCATTTTCATGTGTGAAGATAGAGACAGCCAAGTGTGTATATGGCATCCTGTACTGTCCCCCACTGACTCGTATACCAGGATGATCTGGACGGTGAATGGATAGATTGTGCTCAGTTGATCTGGCTTATAACATCTTCCTCAGCTCTCAATAAAAAGAAAACAAGGGCAGGCCATAAGTTTTCAGCACCCTTTGTAGATTGTGAGCTTGAAATCATCGTTGGTCGAAAATGAGGTGACGGACATAGGAAGACCCACGAAGAGACGAGCAAGTTTTCACCAAGTACCTGAAGAACGACCAGTAAGCATTTAACCATCCTGGTCCCACAATGCAAGCTAAATCAAATGAATCTCAAGAGTGATGATAGCAGCTCAGATGACAGTGTCAACAGCAATGGCAGGGACATGGACGAAGAATTTTCAGCAAAACCTGTACCCAAGTACAGGGTGACTCAAATCAAATATGTTATTCTGACATTTGGGTTGTAGAAATTAGTTCCAGTTGACAAAAATCAAAAGTGAATCAGGAGGAACACAGATTGGGCAATCAAACAATGTGAAACCCGGCGTTCACTCAGCTCTGTAGAGCAGTCAGTGCTTGGTGCCTTTCTGGCCAACGAGCTCTGCACCATGACTGAAAAACAGGTAGCACTATCTGCTGCATTTTCTACGCCTTCCTCCGCTGTCAACCGAGTTCTTGCTATCAATGGTGAGATGCAATGCCGCCAGTCGCTCTCGCCTCTGGAAACAAACTGCAACTTTCTCGAAGAGCTGGAGATTGTAGCTCCGATGGTCGAAGCATGTGCAGAAAACCCCATCCATTTCAACGTTGACTCGTGGGTCAGGAAAGGAGTGCTGGTAGAGGATCAAGGACAGATCATTGCAGAGAATGTGGCTCGTTTGTATGTCTGTGTCACCACCATCCCCTCCAAAGATGCAGCCCTCTTGCGTGACTTTATGGCCTGGCACCCTGCTGACATCGCATGGAGTGTGCTTATGCTGCTCATCCATGGAGCAACAGTGGAGGAGGCCGAAGAAGCTGCCTGAGCCGCTTTGGCAATATATGGTTTGGCAAGGTGGTTTTTGTGCATAGGGTTGGTCTTTTGGACCGGGTTTATGGGTTTGTGAGTCAAGTAGCTTTGTTTCTCTGGGCTCAAGGTTTTGATTCAATTCTCCAGGCTTAGGGTTTGTTCACAGGGCTCAGTTCATTCATGGCTCAGTTCATGTCTCATGGCTCAGTTTGGATCTCATGTCTCAGCGTACCTTTCTCCAGGCTCAGGGTATATCCATCAAATCAAATCAAATCCAAGTTTATAGAACACAAAGAAAAACTATATTGCAAGCTTCCCTTTGGACTATGAGGGTTGAACTAATCCAAGGGAGTCTGAGGATCTCTTGGCTTAGTGGTAGAGTATCTGATTCCAGTAAACTAGTGGTTCCAGAAGGTCGTCCGTTCGATCCGGGCAGAGATCATCTTTTTCTGTTCATTTTGTTTGAGCTTCCGTTTTGGGACCTCAGCAAGTGACCTTCCTTGAATCACGACTGGCCTGAATTTGCTGAAACCTTTTGGTTTCCCACTGGCAATCACAACCCATGCCTTAACCGGTTCAAAGACTGAGGAATAACCTCAGATTCAGAAAAGATCAACACGCCAACAGTGCTTTGTCTAAAAGTTGATGACTTGGTCATTGCACCTGCATACTGCTCAAGCAGTGCGGAACAGATCCTTGGCCACGTTATCCATTCTGATTTACACTTGTTGGTTGGAGCCGAGCAAAGGTGTGTTCAAGTCCAAGGACTGCACCAGTGTTTAGGGCAATCAATGACAACACCCGCTCTATAATCCTTTCGGTTGCATACAATATTGAGGTAGCCAGATTTTCCAAGCTGACCCTCAAGTTCGAGAATTGTTTCCCGGAGAGTAATGCAGGCGGCCTCTGAAAATCACGGTGTTGATAAGCTCCGATGCATCCCGTCTATTCTATTGCAACACTAGTCATTATCGCGTATCTTCTTGTATAGATTTAGAATAAGGTCATTAGCGGTCAGCGTTATAATCCTATGAATCGATCAGCAGCCAGGTAAGAGAAGTAGTGGTGGGCACGGACGTATGTGGCGCAATCCGCAAAAAGTGCGCCGTCGAGCCTAGTTTCGGAACATTAGCTAGACGAAAAGACAAGGCACCATAACCCCACCTTTGTACCACCCACGCACGCCCTCGGTCTTGACCGTCTTCCACAGACAGTCGATTGGGCTTTTGTATAGTGTACCCACCATCTTACCATTCGGTCCCATGACAGTTGGCTGGTTGTACATCCGTGTCAATGCCTGGGAACCAAATGAGTTGGGTCTAGGAAAGATTATGTGAACGTACGGTATCCGCAGGTTGCATCACCAAACACTACACATTTTTATCAGCTCGATACACCCGCTCGAAACGCAGAACATACCACACAGACTCCGGATACAGAGCTACTGGCAAGAAACGTCCATGTACTGTTAGCCGGGAGAATTCCGCGGTCAACCAAAAAGTTTTTAGCCAAGTTGTAGCTCGGTAATTGTACCGACGATCCCATCGACGTTCGCAGAATCGCAGCATCCATGCCCCGGACAAGACCACGCAGACCTTCGGCGCGGAATATGGTCGACAGAGCGTCAACGGAATTCTTGTAGTAATGCTGAGCGCCGACAGGAAGAGCTGGAGAATAGGCCTGCATTCGGGCCTTTATTAGGAACAGAGGGTTGCCCAGAGAGGCTTCGAATAGAGTTTCAGCGTGAAAAGGACGAGCCAGGTCTATGCTGACCTCCTACAGCACCGCTGCTCGCTCCAGCTATGACAGCCGTCATGGGTAGTTGCTCATCGGGCCGTCGGCCGATGAACTTGTTCAGATTGCGCCGAAACGGTTCGTAGAATCCTGTAGGAGAAACATTGGGCACCGAACGAATAGGCCACAGCAGCCGTACCTAGCCTTGAGCCGTTTAAAAGCATCTGCAAATGACAATCACCGCGACATTCGGGATTTCGGATATATACGCACTTGGTACGCATACTGAAGGCCCAGTCAGAAGTTGACGGGCGGAAAAATAACAAGATGACATGCCGCAGGTCCAAGGCCTCTCTGCATCCCTCTAATTCCCTCATTCCTGTACGTCTTAGCAAAGACATCAAAGGCGTTTTTGTAGACCTTTTCCGTGCCAGACTTTGCCAACTCGCCCTGCAACTGCAGACGTGTCTTGGCGACTTCTGCGGGGTTGGAGATGGTGACCTGGTCGACGTGCACGCTCCAGTCAGCAAAAAAAAACTATGGCCGACGGAGCGTTACTGACAGCAATGCACGCTGCGATGCCGCCACAGACAAAGCCCTCCGCGGTCGACATGGGCCGCCCCTTCACGGGAGGGGAGGAGGCCATTGAAATGTCCGTGCTCGACGCGTGATTATTATAAAGGAGAGAGAGTAAGCTTTGCTTAAGTGGGATGATACCTGTCCGATCCGTGTCCCCATTAGGAGTGACTCTTGTCTGATGCGCTTGGACGCCGATGCTCCCGTTCAGCACGCAGACGGTCGTGTTTGTTGGTGTGCTTGCCCTTGTGCTCCCCACAATATTCCGCATCGTCTCTTCCCCCCTCACCCTCCTTCTCATCTCCCCGTTTGTGGTCGGGCTCCTAGGTGTCGCATTCCTGTTCTTGAACGTCCTCGTCAGTCATCTACTCGACAGCAAGACCCCGTCGGCGAGAAACAACCTTCGTTATGCGGCACGGCCTTTCGTGTTCTCCACCCCCGCGGCCTGGCAGGCGGTTCTGACGCGGTCCCAATGGTCCCAGGACAGTCCACAATCCTTTCCACCACTGGTGCCCGAGTCGCTAGTGCTCTCAGGCGCAATCAATGACATTCTCATCATGATCGTCAGGGATTTTGTCCTCGTCTGGTACAAGGACCTTTCCGCGTCACCGTCCTTCCCTATGGCTGTCTCGTCCGTGTTGCACAAATCACTCGAGAATATACTTGATCGAGCTGCCACAATTGATTTATCGGAGCTCGTTGTCAAACGGATCCTCCCCAAAGTCACTGCGCATATTGAGCAGTTCCGTCAGTCCGAGGTGGCGCTCCGCGGAGCAGGTCTGGAACGGAGGTTGACCCAGTCAGAAGAGCTTGACCTTCTTCTCGCGAGTCGATATACTAGCAAAGGAGGCGGGAAATTGCACCCCTCGGTTGACAACCTTTCGACTACGTTCACCAAACAAACCGAAGAGATGCATCTCCGGCAGCTGGTAGAAAAGGCGCTTCCGTTTGTCTTGCCGGAGAAGGAAGGCAGGAGCAGGGTTTTGAAGTTAGTAGTACGCGAGATCGTGGCATGCGCGGTACTGTACCCTGTCATGGAAATGGTGTCGGATCCCGACTTTTGGAACAAGGCAATCGACCAAGTGGTACGTTGCCTCTGGCGCTATCAGCCAAGTGTCCTGATCATATCCTTCTAGGCCGGTGCGGCGATACATGAACAGTGCGTTATATCTACGGGTCTGTAGCCAAGGCTAACTAGAGACAGAAAATTGATCACCAAAGTCCGAAATGTCCTGGAGGCTCAGTCACCGCGGCAACACCATCGTCTCTCAACCGCGCCAGTGACTGCGCTGCTACCTACCGAGACCATAACTATTAGAACAGATGCTCGCCAGTTCGAGTCTTTTCTTCGCAGTATAAACCGGTGTTCATCGCTTTTGGACGCTCGTCGCTTGAAGAACGACGTCGTGGGTGAGATCAGGAGAACACGAATAGCCCTTGGTGCGGAATGAAATGTGTACAATGACCAATGCTAATTGTGATGCAGCCAATCACGAAAAGGAAGACTGGATCAACGGAGAAAAAACTGAAGACGTTGTAGCCTTCCTAGATCGACTCTACACTGCCAAAAGAAAAGTGGAGGAGAGAATAGTTGTACTGGGTGGCGGGGACGATTCAGTAAGAATCTTGACATTTCTCAAAAACAAAATGTTTACAATATTCAAAGGAGCGACAGTCGTCCTACCAGGAACCAGGTCCCAAGTCAGGCCTGACACTGCGTGACGTCTTGCAAAATCCCAGCTCGCTTTCTTACTTCATGGAGTTTATGGACCGGCGACATCGGTCTTTACTCGTTCAGTTTTGGCTTACCGTTGAAAGCTTCAAGAATCCGTTAGAGTCTGTTGATTCAGGCTCCTCCGGTGAGGAGGACGAACCTATTCAGGATGCATCCACTCTCGTGACCGTGAAAGAGGACATTACCATGATTTATGATCTTTATTTTTCGACCCCCACGCCTCACCCCACACTTGCTTCGATACCGAAGAAATATGTCCAGAGAATACGTGACTTCGCGAACAGCGAACTGACACCATCCCCTGCTACGCAGCGGACCGTGCGCAGAAGCGTCATGTTGGCGCAGAGGCAAGTGGAACGAGATTTAGAGCACGACTTCGAGGACTTTGAACGATCCGAACTGTGGTTCCGTGCCATAGGTGACACGGACTTTGGGCGAAAAAAACCGTCAGTGGAGGCACCACCGACGCTCAAAGATAGACGGTCTCTCACAACGCCGGGGCTTACACACCTACATCTCGCCCCGCAGTCCCCCCTCAAGCAGACTGGCGGTTCAATTCCGCAGATGCTGGCCCGTTCCGAGTCCTCACCTAGCCATACACGACCAAGAACCGCCAGCGGTGGCTCTCAGTCCCATCGGTCGTCCGGTTCTCATTCTCGCCCCTCCAACATTGAGGTCCTCATGTCCCCCGTCTCGGACATGTCCTCAGAGTCCACCCGAGCGCCGCTGTTTGATGACCCAGATGATCGGCTCCAGAGAGCAGAGGAAGTCCGAATGGAAGCAATCCAGGCAGCTTTGACCGACATCATGGCGCTGGAGCACGAACAGTCCCTTCCCCCCGGAGATGACGGTGACCACGATACCATGTTCCAAGCCTCTCATTCAACCCATGGTGGCAAACGCAGGGCAATGTTTGATGTCGACCTCGACGAAGTGGACGAGGTCGACGAAGATCGTCAAGACGATTCCGCCGATCGACCTGGTTCCTTCCAACTCGCAGCCCCGGGCGATCTCCAGCTTTCTTACGAGATAGCTCGACTAGGCGATAACATCTCAAACCTCCAGTCCCAAGAGGCGATACTTGTCACATTGATCAAGAAGGCGGAGTTGACAGGCGACACGCAGGAGCTCAAGCTTCTCAACAAATCCAAATCTGCCATGAATCGCGAGCTGAGGGAACTCCAGTTCCAAAAGCTGCAGTACGAACAGCAGGAATCGGCCAACCGTCTGTTTTCGGACCGCACCAAGGTGTCGATGGTAAGCTCTACTGTAGGGGACGAGGATGGAAAGTCGGTGGTTCGCTATCTCGTCGAGATTCAGCAGCTGGCGCCGGACGGAAGCTTTGCATCAGGGTGGGTGGTCGCCCGACGATACAACGAGTTTTTGACCATGCACAA